GCGTGCTCCCACTCGATGAGCGCCCACGCAAAGCCCGGGTTCAGCTTCGCACAAGCGCGCTTGCGCTACAAAGGCAAGGGCGTCGTCGTAGGACATGGAACGTTTGCGGATCGAACAGAGACGCAGATGTCGAACATGTTGGCCAGAAATTTACTTAACTCGGATCAGATCGGATCAATCACTCGGGTGCAACTCCGTTTGTTTCCCACTGCTCGTCTCGAATTCTCCAGCAAGTCTGCCTCGAAAAAGCTGGACTTGCAATTGGACCGGACCCGCCGCCGCTCCTTGTACGAGCGCGTCCCCTCCTCTTTCCTCCGCCGCGCACGAGCCCCTCGACCCCGCCAGGCCCGCATGGCGCCACTCCGCCCTGCCCCCCAGCATGCGTACGAGATGCCGCGCGTACAGCGCGCCGCCCGGGTACCCGCCCTCGCCCCCGCCCCCGCACCCGCACTATGCGTACGGGCCGTCGACGGGCGTGGACGAGCGCAGGTACGATGGGATGGGAGGTACGCGCGGGAGTACCCCCCGCCGCACCAGCACGCGGGGTACCCCGTTCTAGGCGGGTCGCCCCATGCGCACGACACGCATGGTGTAGGTGGAATCGGTGCTGGAATGGGCGGCGGAATGGGAATGAGTGGAGGAGGCGAAGGCGGAGGAACCGGCGGCGTCCACACACGGACGACGCGGCGACGAAACTGAGCGACCGTGTGCGCTGCCGTTGCTTCGACTGCTGCACCGCCAAGACAAGTACGTGGAGAAGGAGTAATTTGCGTCCGGGGAAGGTCGTACGTGTCCTCTTCCTCTTTTTCTTCACATAGATGAGTGGGTGGGTTAGTTGTGTCTTCGAGCGCACGCACTGGCGCCCACGCCTGCACAATTTACGCACACGCGAGCTCTGCTTTGAGGGCAAGGGTACAGGCAGCGCAGGTGCGTTGTCTCTCATTCTCTTTGTGCGACGACCTCGAGTTGGTCTTCCGAGCCATAGCGCTCGCTCGTCCTTTCCTCTCCCCACGAGCGAACGCGGACCATGGGCGGCACCTCCCCGCGGCGGCGTTGTGCTCATCCCAGATCCGTTCTCCATCCCCATCCCGCGCATCCCCTCCGTCTACGTCGCGCTGTGCAGGTGTGTGCGGGCGCGCCGCACATGGACGCGGTGCCCGTGGTGGTACAAAACTCGGAGCACGAGCGCAAGTAGCGAGCGTTCATTTGTATAATAACGTAGATACAGGACGACATGCCCCCCCCCAAGGTGTGGTCGTAGTTCAAGTTCCTGCTGTTTTTGCAAGAGAAAAGATCAATCCGCTCGCAAAAAGGGATTTATCTGACTGTGGACAGCCGCATGCTTCCTCTGAATTTTATCGCATATTTTTCCAACCTCGTGATATCGGTGCATTTTTAGTTTAGTTGCAAAACCACCCCGAACGCTTTGCCAGGTCGCGGTGCGGAGAAAAAATTGAGATTTCCGTGGTCCTGCACGGACAAAAATTGGGTCCTGGACGCTGAAATGCCAGGTCGCGCGCGGACAAAAATCATCCAGTAGTCTATTTTCGGTCCATGTCGACAGAAATGTGTTGAAATCGGAGGAGGAGGTGTATTATACTGACGCGGTCCCACAATTGGAACAGCCAGTTTACTAAGTATGACATCGCAACTTGTGTAGGCAAGTGGGTGATATTGAATCCAAAACACGCGAAACGGGTGATCCGCGCGAAAAAATGTGGTGCGTGAGAGCAAGAAATTACCCGGTCTGGATGCCGATGCCATCCTCGGCTAGGGCCTGCGCGGACAAAAACGACGCAAATTGAACCCAAACCTGCACGGTCTGTAGGAGTGGTAGAAAAGCTGTAGATGAACTGTATGTAAAGCTGTAGAAAATGGGAAGAAAAACAGGTGTTACAGATTAGAGGGGATTTGTTTACGCACGGTGGGTGGCTGTAGGACTGACACCCACCATGCCGACTATATGGCCAGTCAAGCCGCTACTTCAACAGTTCACAGTGTACTATTTCGACCGAGTGTTCAGCTGACGCGTGACAGCCGATTTTTCTAAATTCTGAGGTCGTTAAAAATTGCGACAATTGAACAATTCAGAAGAAAAATTATCAGCCATCTCGGTGAGTGAAAATTCCGAAATCAATGAACACTTGCTCGAAATAGTACAGTAGTTCACATCCAAGTATATTCAGAGGTCCAGGGTCCTGCGCCAGCTCGACACAGCCGCTATCAGCCGCCATCACTAGCTGATCGAAAGTACGGAAGCATGCCGACCGGACCGATTGCTTCCGCCTCGCTTCCGTCTGCCACGTCGCTTGCCACTTGCTCGCCACCCCGGTCCAAAATGCATCGAGCCCTCAGGATACCAGAGATCGTGTACCTCATCTTCGCAGAAATCAAGCGCCCGTTTCGCAGGGAAGGTCACGAGCTCCGAGTTTTCAGGACAGATAACGAGCACCCAGCTCTCGCCGCTCTTTCGCAGACATGCACGACGTTTCGGGACCCAGCGCTCGACCTCCTTTGGAGTGAACAGAGCACACTTCTCCACTTCCTCAATACATTTCCACGTGATTTGATTAAAAAAGTGCAAGATGAAAGATCCGTCGTGAGTATACAGCGATTCACTGGCGTGGGCAACGCTGAATGTCGTCCCCTGTAGCATCTTCTTCGGCCCGTATGTCCAAAAGATTGGGAGCGTCCTCTGCTCTACTCCCGCCACATCAAGTTGTTGCTGCTTATATCGCCGGCTTCATCAATTGCATTCGAAACACTTTCCCTCAGCTGTCCGGGCGGCTACATGCTTCCTAATCTTCAACTCCTTGACTTGAGCGATTTACCACAGTCTGCCTCGTCCATCGACTTTCTCCTATCTCCCCAGCTCCAGGAAATCCGTCTCCATTTCTATACAGGCTTTAGGCTACTCTGCCAGATTGTTCCGACGTTGGCGGTGAAATGTCCTTCCTTGATATGTTTATGCATATACATGGACAAGAGCTATGACGCCGCGACTCTTAAAGTCGTTTCGGACTTCGTCCGCAGCTTGGTGCGCATCCAGGAGTTGGGAGTGACCAGTCTAGACCAAGATGCATTTAAGCACCTCGGAGGCCTCACCTCTCTAACGGTCCTGAGACTCGAAGACCCGAAGGTGCCCTGGACGTCCGCCCTTCCTATCGACGCCGCCACATCGCCGCAGCACATGTATTCGTCCCTCGCAGCTCTCTACTTCGGCGAAACTACCACCGTTGACCGGATCACGGCCTTCATTAACATCATCTCGAATGCCCAGTTGAAGAAATTGCAGTTCGAGTTACTCGACGACCCGGGTCCCAGCGATGCGATCGGCCGGCTTTACTCAGCCCTGACAACCCATTGCTCGCATGATTCTCTTCAAGACATTTCGATGCGCGGAGCATGGCCGTCCCTGTCAGCATCCATGGACCAATATAGAATCCACGGTGCCACTTTGCGAACCCTGTTCTGCTTTGTGAACATGGTATCCGTCGAACTCCATCAATGCTCTGGATTCGACCTCGACGACGCCGATATATTCGACATGGCGTGTGCCTGGCCCCGACTCGAATCCCTTTCGCTCACAGGCTTTTCTGACCTTTCGCCGGAGCAGCCTCGTGTCACTCTCCAGGGCTTGTATGCCTTCGCTCAGCATTGTCCGAGTCTTCAATATTTGGGGATGAACTTTAACGCGACTGTTCCGCTCGAACTGCCCGTTCGGAGTTTATCGAGCGTAAGCCTCGAGTTGCTAGATGTTTGGTACTCCCCGATCAGGACACCGAGCGCCGTAGCAGCATTCCTCACCAATATCTACCCCCAGGCGGATATCGAATTATTTGACGTTCATCATCCCACGGGGACTGACTACGAGGAGCTCGAAAATCTGGATCGGTGGGCGGAGGTAAAGCAGAGTCTCAAGGATCTCCGGGCCCAGAAAATTTTTGACAAGGGAGGGGTCAAAGTCAACTGATGCTGGGAAGACCGAGATGTCGTTAACTCTTGATTTCTTGTCCTTGTACATAGGTCGTGGTAACAATATTTGGTACTGTAGCCGTAAGGAAGACCCAGGATCTGATTGAGTGCTGACGAACCCACCCGCTTATCGCCTCACGTCCCCGAGACGCGCGTTGTGGCTTGTTCCAGCACAGTTGTACCACGGTCCACGTACGTAACCACGCTCCGCATCTCTTGGGCGGGGAATTATGCGGCTTTTTGTTGCCCGCTCGCTTTCGACTTTTGGCTCTTGAGGTAATGCTTTCCTCGTGGGTAATGCTCTGCTCTGGTGGTGAATATTATACCTACACTTTCCGAATTGTGGGAGAAATATATATATCAACGAGAGCCATCGCTCGGGCCCCAATCAAACAGGCCTCTTCTGCATTGACCTCTTCCACATCTTCAGTTCAATGGGGTGCCTGGCCAGATGAAAATTAATGCAGAAGCACCCCTGTTCGACCCAGGCCCGAGCCATGAAGCTACACTGGGCTCATTTTATTTATTTAAAATAAGTTATATGCTTTTCTAATCCGCTTAAAGATGGGTTACTGCCGAGTGATGCCTGTTCGACTCAGGCCCGAGCCATGCTCCTCTTTCTTTTCCGCCTTTTTAGTTCTATCGGCGTCAATAAAGAAAATGTAGTCGGCATAATGAGCTTACGAGGAAGGAGGGAAGGGCTCGATAGTGCGTGGTGCGCATCTTCTCCCATTTGATTGTCCGGATGCGGACTGTACCTGTTCAACTCAGGCCCGGACCGTTCGCCTTCCCTTAGGATTTTTTCTTCTCATCCGCAACTCGGAAGTGTAGGTATGAACGGCTTACCAGGATGGAGAGGAAGCTCGGTAGGACGCGGCGCGTACCTACTTCCCATAGAAACCTTGCGAGGGACAATAAGCAGAAGAAGCCTACTCGACTCAGGCCCGAGCCGTTCGCCTTCCCTCCGCATTTTTCAGTTTTCACAAAACATCAAATACAAGGTGCATACCGGGCTACACAGGAAAGGCTCGGTAGCGCTGGGTGCGCGTCTGCTCCCATTTGACTGTTGGGACGCAAAATAACTGCAGAGTATGCCTGTTCGATTCAGGCTCGAGCCACTGGCATGGTCCTACAACGAAGTGTTTTATTTCCGCCCTTGTCAAACAGAAGAATAGATTATGAGGAGCATACTTTATTGGATGGAAAGGCTCGGTCGCGCGGGGTGCACGTCTGCATCCCGTCGAACCGACATGCGAGACATTTGTGCAGAAGGAGCCTGTTCGAGCAAGACCCGAGCCAAAAGCGCTGTCTGACGCTTTTTGTCCTCCGTCTCGCAAAAGATTAAAACAAGAATGACTTACCAGAGCGCAGGAAAGGCTCGGTGGTGCTTGGCGCACGTCCGCAAATAAATCAGGGAGTCACAGTGCAGGGGAGTCATCCCGGGGTTGAGCCATCGGGAAAGAATGTGTTCTGCTTTGCAGTTCGCACCATCGAGTAAGAGGAGCATATCGGACGCTGAAGGAAGGCTCGGTCGCGTGTGGAGTGCATCTGCTTCCCGTGCCTAGTGTGACATGACAATGCAGACAATGCCTTTTCGACTCAGGCCCGAGCCACTGGCGTGGTCCCACATCACTGTTTTTACCGCCCTTCACAAACAAAAGAGTAGAGTATAAGGCACATACTTTATTGGATGGAAAGACTCGGTCGCGCGGGGTGCGCATCTGTATCAAAATTTGTCATGTTTGAAGCTTCAAACAGAAGGATGCCTGTTCGACTCAGGCCCGAGCCATGTGTCGGCGTCATCTTTTATTCAGCCCCATGAGTGAAAAGTTGAGTATGCGGAGCGCGCGAAGCCAGGGGGAGAGGCTCGGTCGCGCGAGGTGCGCATCCACGACCATTTGAATATCGACACAGGAGATTAATGCAGACAATGCCTGTTCGACTCCCTCTTTATTTCTGCCTTTTTAGATCTACCGGCATCAATAAAGAAAATGTAGTCGGCATAAGGAGCTTACGAGGATGGAGAGAGAGGCTCGGTAGCGCGCGGTGCGCATCTGCACTCATTGAGGTATATCCTGGGTATTGTCACCAGACGAGGCCTGTTCGACCCAGGCCCGAGCCATGGCCCTGCTCCATCTGTTTTTTTTTTGTCCTCAGTCTCGCACATCGAAAGAGTAAAGCCAGAACGACTTACTAGAGCGTAGGAAGGGCTCGGTGGTGCTTGGAGCACGTCCGAATAGTGTCAGGGTATCAGGGAGTCACAGCGCAGCGGAGTGATCGCGGGGTTGAGCCATCGGGAATGAATGGGTTCTGTTTTTCAGTTCGCACCGCCCGAAAGCAGCGAATAAGAGGAGCATACCGGGCGCTGAGGGAAGGCTCGGTCGCGCGTGGTGCGCATCTGCATCAAATAAGATCTGCGTATAAATCCAAGCAGAAGTATGCCTGTTCGATTCAGGCCCGAGCCATGAACGGGTCGCATCGAAATAATGAGTTTTTTGTTGCATGACTCGCGCACCGAGTAGAATGGGGATGGAGGGCTTGCGAGGGAGAGGAAAGGCTCGGTGGTGTGTGGCGCACGTCCGCATGTATACAGTCGTCAAAATGGATCAACAGTGCAATGGAGTCATGAATCGGGGCTGAGCCATCATTGAGAACGTTTGAAACCTTTTTCGGTTTGTCTTTAAATTGTTTTTGAACCCGACTTGCGACAAGAATGTGAACCCAGGTAGGTAACGAGACGCCTGGGCTGAGGAAGACTCGGAGGCTCCACCTGAGAGAAGCGACGGTGGAGCCGCCGTAAGTACCCAGTGGGATGCTCGCCGAGGAAGGCTCAGAGGGTCCTAGATTGCGGCCCATCTACAGATTGATGATTTCATTATGCCAGCCCCTTGTTGTGTTTCCACTTGGACAGTACGAGGACGTCTCAAGGCACCCGGTGACCAGTCCCCTGCAGTATTATTATAAAACCACGAGAAAATTGTTGCGCCACCAGAGCAAATTTAAAGTGTTACATGTTACCCCAAGCGAAAAGGTTAAAGCCGAGCGGCCGCTGCCAGCTGCCGGGCCGCGTGCAGAGAGCGAGTGCAGAGCCCAGAAAATCGAGATAAAGCCGCATAAATAGCCTGCATCGAGCGAACGGTCGGACGGCGGCGTGTTTTCGTACGTGGTACGACTTTGCTAGAGCGGTAACAAGGTAAGGAACGACGCGTGTCGCGTGGGGGTGCGGCGATCTTGGCGGCGATAAGCGGGCCGAGGGGTTAGTCAGCATCAGATTCGGGTGCCTTGGGTGCCTTTCCCTTGTACTTGCCTTGTACTTGTACCTCGTCGTCTGCGCCTAGGATTGTACGGGGCCAACATGATTCGGTTCGACACCCTCCCGCCCGAGGTAATGCAGGCGATGTGCACCCCGATGCACCAGATCCTGCCCCCCACCCCGCTCGCCCCCGCCGCTTCCGCCTCGTCCCACCCCTCCTCGTCCTCGCCTTATGCACCGTACACCTCTTCCTCACAGGCGCATGGGGCTCAGCCGATGTCGGGCGGGCTGTACCTCGGCTCGCTGAGCGCGGTGAACGACCACCCTTTGCTGCGCGCGCACGGGATCACCCATTTGGTACAGGCGCTCGAGGCGCCGTGGGCGCCTCCCGCACGGAAGGAGGACGGCTTCGTCGCGTACAGCATCGATATCCGAGATAAAGAGAGCGTCGACCTGCGCCCGCATCTCGAGGCCGCGTGCGTGTACATCGAGCGCGCGCTGCGCAGGGGCGAGGGGGTGTTGGTGCATTGCCAGCAGGTGCGTGTCTCGTCTTATTCCCCTCTCTTCCCCCATCTCCCTCTCCCTCGTTTTTCTCGTATACTGATACACGGAGAAGGGCGTCTCCCGCTCGCCCTCGATCGTCATCGCGTACCTCATCCGCAACCACGCCATGTCCTACGACGCCGCTCTCGCCTTCGTCAAGCGCAAGCGCGCCTGCGCGAAGCCAAATCCGGGCTTCGCCCGCGCGCTCATCGAGTGGGAGCACTCGTGGCGCCGCCCCGCCGTGCAGCGCCGCTTCACCTCGTAGGTGGCTCTCCACAGCCGTCGTCGTCGGTGGAGTTTTAGGCCGAGGTGCGTCTGCCGCTGTCCGGCCTGGGCCCGGAACTGATTCATGTACTGCAGATGTGCCTGCGTCCCTGACCGTCCTTCTATTCGACCCGTATCAATCACCGTGCGCAATCTGATTTATCATTTATATCTTGCGCCGCCGTCACCTCTCCTCGCAATCAACAATCTTCGCGCCTCCCCGCAATCCAACGATCTTCACCCCTCCCGCATCTACATCCCGCTCCCAATCTTGCCAAACCGAAAATCCGCGCCTGCGTCCTACATACGCTTACCGCTATGCTCGCCCGAGCGTCCGTCCGTCCGTCCCTGTGACCACCACCGACCGTGCGCCGCTCGTTTATCTACCTGCGCTCCTTATCTATATCTTCTACCGCTCTTTTCTTTTTTCGACATCTTCCTCCCTTCCTCCTTGCTCCAAGTCGTCTGCATCTATCTCCCGTGCTCCCTTGCTCCATCTCACTATCGCTTGCGCGTATCTCGTATTTATCTTCCCTTCTTACTTCTTCCTTCTCTCTTCTTCTTTCTCCGTTCGCACCTTCCGCCCTCGGTCACTGTACCTTCGCACGTGTATATACCTCCTCCTCCCCCACCCGGATCGCTTTCGCTCTCGATATCGATATATCTGCTCCCGCTCCCGCTTCGACGTTCAGACGGACTGCTACACGTACCCCCTCCTCTGACTTCCGCGCTTGCTTCCTCTGCTCTCACATCTCACCTCTCCACGTTAGAGGTCACCATCATGCCCTTGCTCGATCGCGCGTTCTCGACCTAGCTTACTCGCGTCTTCTCACTCGTTTCTCCGCTTACCTCATCTACCGATTTACCTTCCTCTTTCACTTCGCTGCTACATATGGGGCCGTTGTCGTCTGTCTGTATATATTGGGTTTTTTTGGCTGTCTTCCGTGTCTTCCTTTCTGTTTGGTGGGTGCAAGCAAGTCCCCTCTCCGTCTGGTCAGATCGGGATATCGCATCGTTCTCGGTTCTGCCAGTGGATGTCGCATCGCTCGGCTTTATTTGGGCTGTCGCAAGTTCTTTGAGCTGGAGTGCGTACGGTGAGTAAGTCGAGCACGGAAGACTTTCAGCTTGTTCTACGCGTGCGTTCCTCGAGGTTTTACACTCGCTTTGAAACAAAATTTGAGAGGCGCCCGCTGTGAACTCTACTCTGTTCGCGTTTTTTTTAAAACTGTAAATTACGAGGGGAGCCCGGGCCGCCGCGTTCAATGCGCGTCGATATCTCGAGCGTGTTTTGCCCCTCCGCGCCAAGTTTCGAATTCAGGTTCTGCGCCTCCGTGCGCTTCGCAAAGTCTGAGTAGGTGTGCGCAAGGTCCGGGTACTAGGCGCTCGCTGTGAGACTGAAAGATATTTAGGAGCGGGACACGCACCGTGGCTGGTTTATTCAGTGCTGAAAGGGAGCTAGGAAGTCGGGTGTGGTGTACGGCACACCCTCCCGCTCTCTTAGCCTTGACACGAGGAGATTGTGGGAGGAGTCCGGGTTCGATTCCCGGCGCTCGAACTAGTTCCTGTATGACTTGCTTTTTTCTCTTTTAGCCAGAGCGCGAAATGATGACCCTTGCCTTGTGATGACAATGTGATGAGCTGATTTCAGCAGATGTGAATGGAGGAAATTTAAACAGCTCGTGCGCCTAGTGTGTATGGGAGAGATATAATTCAGGTGACAAAGTGAGCAAGGAAGTCGGGTGTGGTGCACGGCGCACGTTCTCTCCTGCTGGGGCTTGCACGACGAAATTGAGGGGCACAGGCCGGGTTCCACTCCTGGTGCCCGAATTCATGAGCGCTTACCTCTTTTCCTTTCTTTTCTTCTATGGCACGCACCGCCAGTGCTACGTCTGTGGTGGAACCGCCGTTTATCCTTTTCTTAAAAGCCTAAGGGATGGCGGTGGGCTACGCAAGGAAGGGAGTGGGAAGGAAGGAATGCAGCCAAAGGAACAGTTTCAATGGCTCAGACCTAGGATATTCAGTTCTGAAACAAAGCCAAGAACTCGGGCGTGTTGTAGG